CCCTATCAACCATTTTAGCAAGCTTTCTCTTCCGGAATAATTTCATAATTTGAAGACAGTATCATCATATCTTAACGCAGTTCTGGTATGCACTTTCGATCATTGGTAAACAACGTTAGTCGTTCGACGCTTTTTAATAGGCTAAACAAAATTCTATTCAAAATATTCTAAGGTTTTTTTCTTGCTTATTAGATAAACTCGTAAAGCAGGTCTGACTGCTTAAAACAAAAAAATTACGACAAAAGCCAGTTCAATATTTTATGTTAAACAATTACTGTCATTCATGTTCTTTAGCACGTAAGATTTCAAAGATAATAAAAGATAAAATAAGGTTAAGTTGTCTTAACTTGCAACGACAATCTTATCAACCTCAACAGATCTTAACTAATGTGTCGTTTCTAATCAGACATATCTAGCAACCTAGCTTTTGTAAAAATAGTCCATTATAGGTCTCCAGCGAATATTCAATGTACATCAAATTCAGATTATCAAGAGCCATACCAGACAATAAAAACAGTCTTTTTTACTAATTTTTATGCTGCAGACTGCTTAAAGCTACATAATTTCCTAAGTATTAAGTTGATTTTAAGTAAATAGCAACTTTAACAGAGCCAAATAAGCCAGATTTGAACGAAGGATAAGTGTTGGTCAAAAGAATTGAAAGGGAATATGGCAACAAAAGTAGCCACAATAGCATCTATTAGGTACAATAAACAGAAGACAATGAATACAGACAAATAGTCCCTATATCACTGTCCCCAAAATTTTTCATCTTCAAGTACAGGACAGAGAAGTAAACAAAAAAACTATATAAAATAAAAGAATTTCACGTTGTTATTAACCGTACAAACTTGAATACAGTTTACTTATGCCACAGCATACGAATAATGCAGAGGTTGTAAATGTGATGAAGCCTGTTGTACATAAGCTGCTGGGATTTGTGGTCCGTACGAATAACCACTATATTGGGGTAAAGAGCTTGGATACGGTACAGAAGATCCGTAAGTGACAGTTTGAACTGACGGAACTGGTGCCCATGTTTGTGGTACTGACACAGGATTCGTGCCATCGTAGCCAGGATAGATTCGTGTACGCCTGAAGAAATAAAGCCGTTACTTGTGATAACTTATATTAATCAAATTGACGATTAATTTTAATACAGGCAGCAGCTTATAATGATACATCTAGCGTCCATTATCAATAGTATGTTGCTCATCCATTGTAAATTATGGCAGCAGTAGTAATTACAAATCCCACTTTTACTAAACAACAAAAAAAATAAATAAATAAATAAAAATAAAAAACAAAAGTAAGTAAATAATCAAAAAATGTTGGACTATTTGAAACTATATGAAGCAAAAAACTTTGAACTTCTGAGTTGTGAATGTCCATGAAAAATTAAGATAACAGTCCGAAAGTCCACACATATTCCTCACACTTATAGCAGATGTTTGTTTAAAGCCAATATTACACCTATTCAAAAAACCACAAAAAACAAACAATTTATACGGTTAGATCAGCCTATTAAATCAGTAACCCTCAGTTATTCACAGGCTTTTTAATTTTAATAATATTACAAGTAATTACATCATTTATTTATTTGTAGAAGCTTTTTCTGATTACTATAATTATTTTGCCTACAGAAAAAAAATGTGTGAACATTCAACAAGACATGATACAAAATTTTTTAAATTATTATTTTAAAAGTCAAATCCCAAAGTCTTATCTGCTGTTTAAAAACCTTCTAGAAATATATCTTTGTTGCCAGAAATCAACAGTTACGAGACCGTTGTTTTCGTAAAGAACATTGAAGAACAGTTACCAACTATGGTACTTGATAGAGTAATAATCATACAAAACCCTAGAAAACCAAACTGTAACAGAAAAAATTTGTGGCGACATTAGCAAACTTGCTGACAATTTTAAGCTACTAAAATTAATTCTGAATCATGCAATCAAAGATACGCTAAAATTTTGTGACTGCTAACTGAAAAGATCTCAACAGCAAAAAGTTAATTTAGCGAAATTGTTTATTCTATGAAAAAAAAACAGAAGTTTTCTGTAAAATCTGTCTGAATAATTCCTTATTGAAATTAGAAAAACATGTTATGTCGCTGGCAACATTTTTCAGTGTAATTTACATTTCTAAAAAGACTTACGCTTCCTGAAGTGTCTTTATCAGCTGGGGTATTTTGTCCAGATTGAAATTCTCCAAAAAGTTAGTTCCAGATTCACTCTCCGATGTGGCACCACCAGAGTTTGTAAACTGCGACAATCCGTCCGTAATTAAACCCAAAAGACTCATTTTAGAATTTTCACCACCCTTTGATTTGGATTCTGTTCGCTCTACTTCTCCAGAACCAGCGGCTGTTTTGACACCGCCAGGAATGAGATTACGCAGATTAAACGGCGGCATAAAAGTTATTGGGGCTTGCGTGGGCGGTTTGACCGTAAATAAAGGCCGTCGAGACGATTCAGAAGTAAAAAGCAGAGGCGCTGCCGTTACCTCAGGCTTCAAAATTTCCGCTGTTGTTCGACTAACTTAAATTATAAATTGAAAACACAAATAGTGCAGTTTTTTAGGAAAGTTTGGAAGAATATTAAAAAATAAACTACCTAGTGAGAAAAAAAATCTTGTAATTTTTAAAGCGACAGTTAGATTACAAACCGTGGCAGTGATAAGTCGCCTTCAAACAGTCATCTTCTGTATCAAATAAGTTAATATTAGTCTCTTTAGTTTTACAGCCTGGGAACCAGAATTGCTCACACCGCCTGTTTTCCCTGTATATATTTTTCTTGCGACAAAAAAAAGTAGCTTTATAAATTAAAAAATATTATCTGCTTTAGAGTCTGTAAAGTAAACAAAGACAGTCATACCTGTTATAAGCGTATTTGACCTGGAAACCGCAAAATCGCCCTTGTGGTTCTCTCATGTGGCAAATATCGTCGTTGACCTCAGGTTCAATCGGTGGTTTTGTTTCTTAAGAGGAAAATATTTATGTATATCATTATGAATCCTGAATCTTCATACCATACCGCTGAAAGAACAAAAATTTTTTTTTAATGTTTTTGTCTAAACCTACTTAAATTCAAAAATAACACAACTGGTAGTTACAATCACAACACAAATTACTGTTACCTGGTATGGCGGTTATTATGTTCGGAAAAACTTCTGTTGTGGTGATACTTGTCGGCGGTTCAACAGATGTTGTTGGATCAGTAGATGCAGTTGAATGAAGAGAAATCCCGCCGTTTGCGGTTGTTAAACACTAAAGTTAATCGTTAAAAATTTTTTTTGTAGAGAGAAAAAGATAAGAAAGCTGCTTGTTACTGACAGTGTCGAGATGATATAACAAGTTTAAAGCAAGTTTAAACCAAAAACGAAAATTTTACAATAAATGAAAATCAAAGAAGACTTTTTCTGGTATATTTCTACACTGATTTGAAGACTCGTCTTTAAGTTTCATGGAGGGTCTCATGCATAACTGTCGTGGAAAATCACATTTAAACGGTTTACATTCTATGGTAGCAACCGAGAGAAACTTTGAATCACCAAGGAATTCTTCACCTAAACTATAGAGAATTTTGAAGAAAGTGTCTTTGCAACATTTAAACAAAATCTTCTAAGAAAGGCAACTTGGTTGCTGTCTGTGGCAATCAAAGTAAAAAAGAGAAACAACAGGAAAAAAGCAAAGATTAGGCTGCAGTTAACTTCAGCACTCAAGATAAATCTACGAATTATGTTAAAAGCTTAAATTCTAATGAGCAGTCATTCATCCTTGTTACAGAGGCTGCATGACTTCAACTCAATTACACACTCTTTTTTTACTTTGCATATGATCTTTTAGAACGTTTCAATGAAGCAACAAATGAATACTTTGAAACAGTTCGTTTTGCAGACAATTATTTCTGAACATAGAACACTTCTACAAAAAAACGATGACCTATCAACAATTAAATGTTGTTTATTTATTCATCAGTATGTAATTGTTTACTTTTGTTGTTGTTTCCTCTTTCCTAAAATAAAAATGACAATTACGTTATTAAAAAAAAAAAAAAAAAAAATTACATCTAATTTGTGCGTATTCGAATAACTCGGATAATTGAAGTGTGAATAGGATGAAGAAAAATACTTGGAAAAAAAACACTAAACTTTTTCTTTAATAAAAAAACCGAAAAAAAAATTCCTTCCTCATTCATCTGTCTCCCTCTTTTAGCAGTTGCTTTGTTAATGCCATCTCAACAACGAAGATTAATTGAAGTTAATTGTTCTCCGGCAATTAAAGATCTGCAGGATAGGTATCCATATAGACTGAACCCAATTATTGGGTCAGATCAATTTTAATATAGCAAAAAAAGAAATTCCGCAGAATTTGGTGTCAATTTTTCTTTTTAAGAGGCTTTATTTAAGGTCAAAAATGATACAGCATGATGAAAAAAATCCGACAATACGAATATTACTTATCTGTCTTATTGCTCAGTCAAGTCCGGCAAGCAACCGAGAAAGTCATCTGTTAGGGTGCCTAAAGCTTGTTCTAACTATCTGAAGGTTTTGTAGATGACAGAAACATATTGGTTGGTTGTTATTATCACTGTACCAACAAATTTCCCACTGACATCGACTGAAGATAACAATCAAAAAATTATAGAAGGTACTTGGAATTCTAAATTTAGAAGAATTTCCGAAAATTTAAATAGCAGTCGTCGTATTAACTGTTTGATTAATGACAGTCTGACACGCTTCAAAACTGCCATAAATATCTGATAACATTGCTCTGATAAAAATCAAACTTACTTGAAAAATAAACTTTTTTTTCTTTAATACATAAGCTGCTTATACGAGTCACTTGTGAAAAAAAATGTTCCTTTTCAAAAAAAAAAAAAAAAAA